ACATGCCTAGTCTGAGCGGCGGAACAGGTTGCTGATTGACTCCCTCACTTCACGGGAATCTCCCTCAGAGACCTCCAGGAAACTCTCGTGGAGATACTGGGCAATCCGCTGCCGCAGTTTCCTTGGCAGAGCTGCTTTGTTTCTTGCCCCATTAACGGTAACTTTCCCACACCACAGTGCTGTCACGGGGGGGAGGGGAGGACGGACCATTGCTGCACACAGGCGAGCCGCATAGGGGCCGGGGAGGAACCCACAGGCTTGGAGAAGACCCTACCTTGATTCCCTGCTCACCCTCAGCAGCGAGATATCTTCCATAATGATCACATCCTGTGGAAAGTGTGGGGACAGGAATGATTATCAGGCCCCCTCTACAGTGCTGGCTCTCCCCAAGAGCCATGTGCCCAGTGTACAGCAGGGTCAGGGAAGAGTGATTTACCCTGCCCCCGTGGCTACTCACCATTTTGGGCGTCTTGCAGCTCACGTGTGCTTGCCTGGGGGTCAGCCAGTTAGTGACAGGTGTGAGAGTACTGGCTGTGTTTTAAAGCACTGAATCAGTGTTGTCTGTGTCGCAAACAATACTGCTTCTGTAAAATGTTGCGTTTAAACTTCACAGAGATGACCTTGGGAGCCCAGCCTCCCTCTTTGTTATAGGCGGCACAACGGCTGCGCAGAATTAGAAAGCGGCCAAGAAGAACTAAGGAGGACTTTCTCCATGAGGTTATGATGCACTCCGCCGCTGAGAAACAGGAATTGAAGGAGTGGCGGGACAGCAAGAAGGGGGACTGAAAGGAGAACGCGGCACACCAGAAAGAAACCACGGAGTGGCTCTTAAATGTTATGGAGCACCAAGTGCACATGCTCCAGGCAATACTAGCTCTTCAAACGGAGCAGCTCCACGCCCGCCCTCACCTGCAGCTGCTGTCACAAAACTCTTTCCCATGCGCCCCACACACACCGCCAACAGACTGTTATCAACTTCCTGGCTCCACTCTCTACCTGCATCATTCCACTCCTCTCTCCTCACAGTTCAGCACTGTAGACTCCCACTGCAATCAACCCCCATCCCTCTGCAGTTTGGCCCTGCTGAAGTATAGCACCCGCAACACTGTACTCCAAAGGAGAAGGCTGGGTAGATCCCTGGACATACACAAATCTGTAGCCGTCCCGGGACCCCTCCTCCTCTTGAGACCTTCCCTTCCTCCTCCCTGCTGATGTATTTTTTCGTTTGACTCTCTCCTCCAGTTGTTGTCTTTTAATAAAAGAATTGTGTTGGTTTGAAAGTAATCTTTATTCTATTAAGTGAAAGCAAAAAGAGCACTGCAAAGCAACATAAAATTATGTTAAGCCCCCTTCTTACATCATGTGCACCAATCACCTCCTAGCATTACAAGCACTGCAATCCTGAGCATAGCAACAAATATTAGCAGCTTTCAGCTTCAAATTGCTGCCTCAAGGCATCCCTGATCCTTATGGCCCCGCCCTGTGCCCTTCTAATAGCCCTGGTCTCTAGCTGTTCAAACTCAGCATCTAGGCAGTGAGCCTCTGCGGTCCAGCCCTGAGTGAAGCTTTCACCCTTCCCTTCACAAATATTATGGAGCGTACAGCACACAGCTATAAGCGTAGGAATACTGTCATCGGCCAGGTCCAGCTTCCCATAGAGGCATCGCCAGCGGGCTTTTAAACAGCGAAATGCATACTCCACAGTCATTCTGCACTTGCTCAGCCTGTTGTTGAAGAGCTCCATGATGCTGTCAAGTTGCCCCGTGTATGGCTTCATAAGCCACGGCATTAAGGGGTAGGCGGGGTCTCTGAGGATCACAATGGGCATTTCAACTTCCCCTACAGTGATCTTCTGGTCCGGAAAGAAAGTCCCTGCTTGCAGCTTCTTGAACAGGCCAGTGTTCCAAAAGATGCATGCGTCATGCACCTTTCCGGACCAGCCTGCGTTAATGTCTGTGAAACGCCCATGGTTATCCACAAGCATATGGAGAACCATTGAGAAATATTCCTTGCGATTAATGTACTCAGGGGCTAGGTGGTCTGGTGCCAGAATTGGAATGTACGTGCCATCTAGCACCCCTCCGCAGTTAGGGAAGACCATTTGTGCAACGCAATCCACAATGTTACGGTCGTTGCCCAGAGTCACGGTCTTTCGGGGCAGGATGCGATTAATGGTCCTGCACACTTCCATCAACACGACTCCAACAGTCGATTTTCCCACTCTGAACTGGTTAGCGACCAATCGGTAGCAGTCTGGACTAGTCACCTTTCACAGTGCAATCGCCACGCGCTTCTCCAGTGATAGGGCAGCTCTCATTCTCGTGTCTTTGCGCCGCAGGGCTGGGGCGAGCTCATCACACAGTCCCATGAATGTAGCTTTCCTCATGCAAAAGTTCTGCAGCCACTGCTTGTCATCTCAGATGTGCATCACGATGTGATCCCACCACTCAGTGCTTGTTTCCCGAGCCCAAAAGCAGCGTTCCACTGTCAGCACCTCCGTGAATGCCACAAGCAATCTCGTGTCATAGCTACTACAGGTGGTGAGATCAATGTCGCACTTGTTTTACCTTTTTAGTTTAAGGAATAACTCCACTGCCACTCATGACGTGTTGGTCAGAGCGAGCAGCATACTGGTCAGCAGTTCGGGATCCATTCCTGCAGCCCAAAAGAGGCAGAGCATGCAGTACACAAACCGTTGAAAGACAGCGCCAAATGCGGACGGAAGCACAGGGATTGCTGGGATGTGAAGCAATGCATCACGGGACATTGGGACCCAGGATGCCCCATGACCCCCTCCGCCTTCCCACAAGTCTCAGTGGCAAAAGAGAAAGAGGTGTTCTGTGGGATAGCTGCCCAGAGTGCACCGCTCCGAATACCACTGCAAGTGTGAATACGCTATTGCGCAGGCAGCTGTCAGTGTGAACACACACTGCGGTTTTCCTTCTATGCTCTCTGAGCAGTGCTGTAACTGCCGGTGCTGTAACTTAGGGCTAGTCTACACTGGCAACACTAAAGTGCTGCCGCGGCAGCACTTTAATGTGGCTTGTGTGGTCACGGCGCTGGGAGAGCTGACCACCTCCATGAGGGGCACGGCTCCCAGCACTGGTGCACTGTCTACACTTTTTTTCACACAGTGCTGTAAATTGCCAATGTAGAAAAGCCCTTTGTCAATGTAGACATGCTCTTAATCACAAAACCACCCAGCCTCTCAAATTAAATCATCATCAGGGGCCACCCGAGGTCTTGTCAAGGTTAGGGAAATTTACATCGGTGTAATTGCACTGATATGCAAATTAATAATCTAGACAAGCCCTTAATTAACCACCTATTGAGCTGAATGGGGCAACTCAAACCTTCTAGAGCTTGTTTCAGTGTCCCTGGAAACGAAGGCAGATATTGCTGCATCAATTATACCTGGATCAGATTTTAAAAGCTTTCTTTACAATCATAACAGAAGGCTTTCATTTAAAATAGAGAAATTGTGGAGAACAAGATGGCAGTACCTGGTAGCCAAAACAGCTTGACTTTCCTCAAATTAAGTCCTGACTAGGCCATTCTGCTTCCTCAGGTTTGCAAACAAAAGATTTTCAACCTAATTTTATTGCTCTTTTCATTTAAAGATTTGACAAGGAACAAATTTCCTGTACAGCCATTTCATACTAGATTAACTAGAAATTCATCCTAAAGAATTTCAGGGTTTTTAAATGAGACAAGGTGGGTGATGAGGTAATATCTGCTAATGGGCCAACTTCTGTGGTGAAAGAGAGAAGCTTCCTAGCTTACCCATGTATGAGCTGAAGAGGAGAAAGCTTGTCTCTTCCACCAACAGAAGTTGGTCCAATGAATATTACCTCACCCATCTTGTCTCTCTAATACTCTGGGACCAATACAGCTACAACTCCACTGCAAATAAGGTTTTAAATCACAGTTGGAGCCAGATTTTATTTTCCTTTACTCCCAGTGCAATTCCACTGAATAGACAGGGTTATGCAGCTGTTTGTGTAGAATCCTGCCCCGATACACCAACAATTCAGTATTTGTTTCTGATAGGTGAACACAGGACTGGGCATATTTTGTGGATACCTCCTACCCCTAAAAACAGTCCTAGGAGTGAAATACAGAGGCCAGATCTAAATTTACATCAGTAGAATTAGGTCACTCAGGGGTGTGAAAAATCCACACCCTGATTGAGACAGTTAAACCAACCTAACCCCCAGTGCAGACAGCACTATGTTGAGCGAAGGGCTTCTCCCACAGACATAGCTACTGCTGCTCATGGAGGTGGATTAACAACACTGATGGGAGATGTTCTCTTGTCCACAAAGTAGCCACTTCTCTGAAGTGCTATAGCAGCATTTTAAGTGCAGACCTGCCCAGAGGCCACCAGGTACATGTCAAAGGGCTCCCAGGGCCTTGCATTTCCTCCCACAGACCTATGGTCCCGTTCCCCCTCCCTCCACCCCCATCACAGGCTAGTCCCAGGTCTCCTCTCAAATGGAAACCTGGGCGCCCCGGCCGGGGAACCTGGGCTCTGAGGGCAGGAGGCTCCCAACATTCCAACCGCACGTGCTGCTGCCGCCTGCCCAGCCCCCATGGACCGCGGAATGGGCAGGAGGAAGCCGCGCATGCGCAGCGGCTAACCTGGGCCTTGGAGCCGCCGGCTGCAAAGCCGCAGGGGAGCGAAATCGGCACGCAGCCAGCCGGCCGCACTGCGCATGCCCGCGGGGAGGGGCGGGCAGCCGGATCCGGCCTAGTGGAGGAGGGGGAATGGCCAGTCTGGTCCCAGGGGCAGCGGCTCTCGCCGCCCCGGGAGCGGCCCGCAGCAAGAAGCGTCCGGCGAGCCCGGGCAACGGCAGCGGCCCCAGCAAGAAGAAGAAGGTGGCGGCGGCGCCGAGTGGCCCCCAGCTAGCAGTGAGTGCGCGTGGTGAGGACTGGCGAGGGTGGAGTGCGCATGTGCAGCGGGAAGGGGGGAACGGGAGGAGTGCGCATGTGCGGGGAGTGATAGCCCCCCACGCCTGAGCATCCCCCCATCCCCGAGCCTGCCTCTCCCAGTGCCCTGACCTAGCTCGCACCCCACTGGTGCCCTTGAGCCCCATAAGCCTGCGTGGCCTAGCAGGCAGATCACTGGATCAGGACTCTAGAGCTAGGTTCTATTCCTACCTCTGCCACCAGCCTCCTGGGTAAGCGTGGCACCTTTGTGCCTCAGTTTCCCCATTTGTGAAATGGGGATAATGACACTGACCCCCTTTGTAAAGCACTTTGAGACCTATTCTCATACAGTCCTAGAGCATCTCAGCACAAAAAAAACAAGGCATATATCCCCCAATATACATGGCTGAGTTCAGAAATGGAGGACACAGTAATGCAAATAGGGCTTTGCAATGGAAATGCTCACACCTGAGCTAGGCTAAGCCAGATCCCAATCACCTGGGTTAACTGTGTATTGTAGCCATAGTTTAAGGGATGTAACCTCACATAGGTGCAATAGAGGCATGTTTAAAACCAATTTATATGTATCTAGGTCACTAAAAGGTGTAATCATGTTAGAACTTCCAATCAGACCCTGCTTTGGAGAAGTTAGGTTTAAGCATGATTGCTGCAAACCCAGAATCCTGTACTATGCTCAAGGACTTGTCTTCAGCCTAATATAATTCAAATAATTAGCCCTTCCTTGAGTCCCATCACATACAAATCTCTTAACTCAAGTATGATGGTGCTTTTAACTCAAGATGGCCTGTTGGGATACATGTTGAATTAGCACAACTCATCAGTTGCTAATACAGTTGCTCTTTGCATCTTGAGTGTTATTTCATAGTGTGGGCTGCTCTCACTTGAGTTAAACTAACACAAGAAGAGTTAACTCTGCAGTGAAGATGCCTATTACATAGTGGTGTAGCATCATGCATCTCTTGAGCTATGCCTACCAAATGAGGAGTGGGGCCAATGGAGCATGCAAGTCTTTACATGTGAATGTTGAAAAGTTGAGTATCAGTAGGCTTTGTGTGTATATAGTGTATATCCTCAATGATTTCTATTCCCTTTTCAGGAGGCATAACTGTGTCTAGAGCTAGTGAAAAAACAGGAAAAGTTTCCATGACAAAAGTTGGTCCTTATTTTTCATAGAAAAGTATCTACTTACCACTAGAGCTAATCAAAGAAGTGTGAATCACAGCTTCTAAGTGAGCAATGCTGACAATAAGGTTGCTTATTTTCACAAAAGCCATGAGTTCGATGGGGAGATCTCTTGAATTCCCAGCAAATCCTCTGACCCTGTAACTTGAAGATCAGCATCCTTGTTCCCCTCTGTATGACAACAAGTCCTCCCTCAATTGGACAGCATCTCTGCAACTCCTATGAGTTCAGCTTGTGGTGTTTATAGATCTTCCTTTCCCCTTCTGTGGTATTATCAACAAGCAGAGAGTTATTTGGCCAACCGTTATTTGTAACACTGGCTATTAGCTAAAATAATGTTAAAAATGATTGCCAACCATTATCACATTTGACAACCATTTTCAAGAGCTGTTGTGGTTAGCAATTTGGATGTTCAAGGATGGTAAGGGCTAAGTGTATATTTTATATGTTGATAACTTGTTTATAAGAAACAATCTATTTTTATGTTTGAGATATATTCTTTGTCAATAGACAGCTGCTAGTAAAGTGAAAGAATCCTTCATTTCCTACCCTAAATTGGGTTGTAGTATTTTGTGCTAAGCAGCTTTTGCATTCCTCCCTTGAGGTGGCTGCATTGCACTGGTGGATGAAGTAATTTCTCTACACAGTGTATGAAGTACTATATATAAAAGTATGCTATTGACTTCAGTGGTGCAGGGTTTGTTCCAAAAAGTCACAACTAAGCTCAGGAGCTTAGGGGCTGCCAAAAGCATGCTTAACCCCCTGGAATGAAGAAAATCTGCTGTCAGTCTACTGGTCCTCTGGCCATCAAACACACACATGGTGTTGACTAGCTGTGGAGAATGCCACATTCTTTGTACCTTAGAGAGAAGAAGAGACACCCTGATGCAGGGCTTTTAAAAGAGAAATAAAGTTGGTCTGTATATTTTTAGAGAGTTAGAAACACTCATCAAATGGCATGTTCTTCAGCAATAACTTTTTCTACCCATACCCCATAAATTCCTACAATTTTTAGTTACACAGCCACGAAAGTATTCATGCATAAACTGATTTATGACAAGATGAAACACTTAATAAATCCATTCTCTAATTTAATCATAATGCAGCCCGTCATCAACCAGCTCTCACTCTACTTCATGAGTATCCCTCTGATCAAGTAGTTCAACCAGTCAGCGATTAGTTTATCCACAAACATTGTAAACCTGTCTGTACTTTTTATGAATAAGTTGCTTGCTGACTAGCTGGTAATTGTGGGACTTTTTTTAAACTTAACTGAATTAAATTCACCTGTCCAACAGTCCATGTAGCTATACCTTTTATACAATCCAGTTTTAAAACAAGTTTTGTGAGAATGCTTAGTACTCTTCATACCATTCACTTTCCAAGTTAACCTCTTTTGACCTTATTTTTTAAAACTTTGCATGCTAAGCATATCATTAGTCATATGTCTCAATATGGAATGTTTTTTTCTTGTAAAGAAATAGACACTATGAAACAGATGGAGAAAAATAGAGTTAACATTCCCCAGTTTAAATCACCAAATTATAGTCAATAATACATACATTACACACTTATGTAAAAGTCTGCAAGATTGGGGCTCTAGATTGCAAGTTCTTAGGGTAGGGAAGTGCCTTCTTATATCTTTTTAAAGCACCCAGCACACTTTTGCAAATTGTGTAATTATTGATGCACAGGACCTTGTGCTTGGCCCTTGTCACTGTAGATGTATTTCACATGTAATGCTTAGTCTGCACTTTCCCCCACATCTGTGGATCAGTCTCCATGAAGTTAAACAAAAACTGTTTTTGTGGTGCCCCACAAGACTTATTTTCCCTTTGCATGCTTTAGAGTAGTAGCTTCTACAGTGCTTGAACTGGGAAGAATGTTGGTATGGTTGAAATATAGATTTCAAACAAAAAAAGGGAGTAAGGAAAGCAGTGAGAGCAAATGAAGTTTTGTTTATAAATTTTTTTATCAACTTTGCCTGGTAAAATAATTGGTTAATGGGAAAGTAGATTTGTATGCTCTTGTGCAGTGGTTCTCAAACTTTTGTACTGGTGACACCTTCCACGCAGCAAGTCTCTAAGTACGCCCCCCCCCTTCTAAATTAAAAACCCTTTTTTAATATTTAACACTATTATAAATGCTGGAGATGAAGCAGGGTTTGGGGTGGAGGCTGACAGCTCGTGACCCCCTGAGGGGTCCCAACCCCCAGTTTGAGAACCCCTCCTCTTGTGCATCCTGGTAGAAGGACCAGGTTTCTTGCTACGTATCAATGCAGCTCTTTACTGGACTTGGACTATATTTACCCAACACATAACCTAGTGTATACATTGAGAACTTACCTTTAATTCATCTATGTCTCAAACATGAACAACAAAATATTGTTCACTGTTTGTGAAAGGTATTGGGTCATGTTTGTTTTGGAAGGCCACAGTACATAATGCTCTTCAGTCATGTCTGCAATAAGAGACACAGCCCCTTTGGAAATAATGCCTGTATTTACCAAATGCAGAATTAAAAATGAATTTACAGGAGAGCGTGATTGCAGTTTGATTACATCACTTTTATTAGTCTTACACAATTATTCCTCCCATACTGTTGTTCCATTGAAAAATACTTCAATCTTGCTGGAGTTCAGTATTTTCAATATTGAGGATTAATGTGCATATGAAGTAGTGATGGAAATTAGTAGAAAACCGTTGATTTTATTGTTGATTGATATAGCACCATTCATTTAGGGATTGTCTACAAGAGGAGTTTGTTTTTTGTTGTTGTTGCTGCTGAAAGGATTTCCACTGTTGCTCCAGTTGTTTCAGCTCCATCAGAACCAATGGGAGCCCTAGTGTGCTCTGAGCAGCTAGTGCAGGGGTAGGCAACCTATGGCACGTGTGCCGAAGGCGGCACGCAAGCTGATTGTCAGTGGCACTCACGCTGCCCAGGTCATGGCCACCGGTCCGGGGGGCTCTGCATTTTAATGTAATTTTAAATGAAGCTGCTTAAACATTTTAAAAACCTTATTTACTTTACATACAACAATAGTTTAGTTATATATTATAGACTTATAGAAAGAGACCTTCTAAAAACGTTAACATGTAATACTGGCACGTGAAACCTTAAACTAGAGTGAATAAATGAAGACTTGGCACACCACTTCTGAAAAGTTGCCGACCCCTGAGCTAGTGTCTTTTTAAGCGCAATGGCCTGGATACATAAAGGTACTTAAGTGTTGCAACACCTAACTTTTAGGCGTCTGGAAAATTATTGGGATTCACAAAGCCTGAGTTAGGTGTCTGGGCTTCATACAATGCCTGGGGACAGATAAGCACCTTGGAATGGGATCCACAAAAGCTAGTGTGCTAGGCATGGAGCAACCTAAGCTAACCAAGCAGATATGCTAATTAGAGGGGTGTATCCTAAGCCACATACTTTGACAGAATTTGGCACCTAAGTGTGGAGTGCAGGTAGATGCCTAGCTCTATTTGCAATCTGCAGCCAGGAACCCTCTCCTGGAGCTAGGAAGTTTAGGTGCCTGCCTAACTGCACACAAAACAGCCTATAGGAGGAGATCTCCTGTGGCGACGAGAAAGGAAAGGAGACAGAAAGCCAGGTCGTGGTAGCCAAAAAGCCTCCCAGGGAATTTTTCCTGGGGTTTTTATTCTTTCTACTTCCCTGCTTACAACACTTCTAAGTGGTTAAATTCTTGCGCATAGAAGGAGTGTACAGTGTACAACAACATGAGATAACAAACCCATATCTTGTGCACGTGAAAGCAAGCT